TTTCTCACTGCTGTTTAAATGCCAGCCGGTAGTCTGGCGTAAGGGCGTCTGAGATGGTTACACTGAATGAGAGGGAAGGAATGAGCAGCAAGAAGGAGCAACGTTTGTGGGCACATACCAGGATTACGAATTTGTCTTGCATCTTATGCACTATTGGATGGTGTTCCTCGAAACAGCGTAATACCAGTAATTGTCTATTGACAAGAATGGAGAGTCTTTCGCAATATCACGTATTCACCTTTGACTTATTCACCACCAAGTATCGCACCTTTTCAAATGCCCTATAATAAGTGCTACGTAAAATTTTTATTATTCCAAAATCGGGATGGATCTCGGTTCCTAAATCGGAGTTGTATAATACGGGGATTGCCAATGGGAGGGAATTGTTAGCTATGCTGATAAGGAGGACCGTACGGATGAAAAACTGACGCTGTCTATCTGATTTATACCGCAAGGATACCAGCAATGGGGGTGTCTTAACAGGCAAACGAAATTTTTTATGTAAAATATCACCGTCAATATTTTTGAAACATATTTTGCTCATCAAACATCCACCTTGACTATTATTTCCTGCGTGGAAACGAGATGCTTGACCATTGGCGAAAGATGAATTTGTGAAATTCTGTTCCAGTAGAAAGTTTTAATCTTGATCACAGACGAACTACAATCCGCGTAGAAGACAGACCTGATCTGACACCAAGGTAGTTAATAATGCTGTGTTGAAAGCATTTTTCGCGGGAGGATAAGGTGGATATATGCGCCTCAAGCGATTTAAAACAAATCTAAATTGCTAAATGTACATAACTCCTACCATAAATCCATGAGCAAACGTCGGAGTAGAAACAGCCTGCTTAGTCATAACACAGATTCACCTTCGAGTATTTATTAATCGCTTCAGACTTCACTTTCAGGTCACCAATCTAATCAAATCAATGGTGTAGACGCACATAGAAATCCTTGATTTCAAGCCTTGAATATTTTTCATTCAAAAATATTTTGGAGAATAAAAAGGAAGATAATGGACTGTCTCACCTCTCTATAAAACTGAAATCCGTCTGACACAACGCCACAAACTCCGGTCCAACACCCATAAGCAGTCGGCGTCCAAACATGTCGAGTATTTGATAGAAGTAGACCCCAAAAGCAGGCACCTCCTCGTGAGTTGTCCGCAACAATTCATATTGTGCTGCACGCACTGACATCCCAGTTAGTTGGCGATGGAAGGTGGCAGCCATGGAGATTACTTCGTGAGGAATCTCGGCACGACGATCGGACCAGAAACAGGCGTATTTACACGGTGTGGTAGCAGAGTTAAAACTGCCGAATTGGACGTATGTCATGAGTGCGATGAGACGGGATTGCAGCTCGAGAGAGGTCTCAGCGTCCCAGAGACCCAGTTTTAACTGCTGCACGGCGTTAAGGTAGAACTGGTGTCTGGGAAAGGAGGATTCAACAATAGGTTTTAATGTTGCTGGAAAATTTTAAATAAATGGACCCAAAGGATGAATATTAACCGTGGAATAAGAGCTTGAAAAGGCTACTAGAATAAACCTTTCTGGAGCTCGTTGAGTACTCTTCTATCCATCCTGGAATGACTGAAGGGGTTTAAGCTAAGCTGATGACTACTATGGGAGATTCAAAGGTCTGACTAAATGTGACTTTTCTGAACCAGAGCGACCAGTCACTTAAGGCTGACGTTAGAATGGAGTACTTCATATGCCCTCGAGTTTTCACCTGTTACTAAGTCAATGCTAATGGGATTCAAAAAAGTGTCTAAATACAAGCTTTCTGAATTGTGCTCCAAAGGAAATGCTAGGGTACAATTTTCCAGGCACCTTCCACTTTCCACATTCAAATAATGGATGCAATCATGAAATCGTTGTCTACAATGAAGGATTAAAAAAACGGGCAAATGTGAATGTGCAAAATGTGTATATTTGGTCGGTGCCAATCGCCTCCCATCTTTTGTTAAGAAATGGCATTGAGGATAATGGATTTGGTAAATCAGCTATAAAAGAATAGTATGCTAATAGCATCTTGCTTGTCAGAGATGATGCCGGAATAAATTTTACCCTATGCCGGCTAGTCCCACCTGCTAACTGACGGGGTTGGGGAGCTTCTGATGTCTAGAATAGCGATTTGAAGGAAGCCAATGGCATCTGGATAATCAGAGGTGATGCTATCAGGCAATTTTCTGATGCTTCTCCGCTTTGCGCCTTCAGCTAATGGATGTTGGTGAGGTGTGATTGGTGGCTAGGAAATAGGACCAAGAAATGCCTCTGAACATGAATTGCCTGATCCAAGTCATTTATAAGGTAACTAGCATAACTTCATAGGTTTTTCATTACGAAAGGTACTTAAAATATCCTCTTCGATGAAATCACCACCATCATAGGCTACTATATAACGGCCTTTCCCAACGAGCCACAAGCTAGTCACGAATTCCACTTTTATGCAACATTTGCGTCATTGAAGCAACCAATTTAATCCGCACTTTCCATCTCATTTGCCACTGTACTTTTGTGTCTCAGTTACCCGCTCGATTCTTCACAAAGTCATGGGATTTTCCAATGGCTGTAAAAAATGGTAAGCATTACCTAGAAGAACATCACAGGAATTCTGAAGATGGAGCAGTGTCTCCTTTCTCTCCCCAAGGTACGCGGCATGAGGTCTTCCCACGACGAGAATTTACAGTGTTAGGTCTTGCGTTTTGAGTAAAGAAAAAACATGACTTTCCCTCTGCAGATCTTTCTTCTCAAGAAAAGAAAAGGGCATGATTTTTTTTTGCATACTTTTAAATTGTATCTTAGCAAGAACTATCAAGTAAATATATTTCAGTCAACTGCTGTCTGGCCTTCGACACATAAAGGTTCAATGATGTATTTAAACGGAAATGTTTTGATCCAGGACATCTAAGTAATTAGGAGCGACCTCAGCATCCGATTTTGCATTTTACTCTGCATTCCATCATCGGATAATAATTGACGTTAGGGAGGAATTTATGTCCGGGGTATGCTATTTAAAAGGGCGTTCAAATATGACCATTCTGAGCCTGGAAACTTGGTTAAAAAGGATTACTATCGTTAAACCACCTTTTTAAAAAAAGTTACCATTTTCTGTAAATGGCTGACAGAAAAGAAGCAGTTAGATGGGGTTGGTGATTTAAGGAAGTACTCGAATGTGAAGTCTCCGAAGAGGGATATCCGTTGAATGTTCCTGTCTTAGAATGAGCATGGATGTTCTAAGCTTGGGGTGCAAAGTTGCTTATTTTGGTCCATCTTCCACCTTCTCATGAATCCCGGGCCAAGGGATTCAAGATGGTGGCTAAATCCCAATGACCTTAGTCACTTTGTAATGTCAGGTAGAGATGAGATTAGAATGTGGTTTCCCATATGTTCCCTCCCTTTTGCCAACTGACGATGCTGAGGTAAAATTGATGCCTCAAATAGGCAAATTAAGGTATCTAGATGATAGGATACGTGAAAGAATACGAAATCTAGCATGATATTTTAGACTATTCAGTGTAGTATTTACTTCGTGCTCACAGCATCCGGGTAGCTTTGAGATAACTTTTTTTTATTTCAGAAGGAAATTAATAAAATTGGATTTGGGTACCATCATGACGAGTTGAAATGCGAGAAAATAATGTCGGGAGGTTGATAGACGAAGTGAAGCAAGTTGGCTAGAGATACAGGAGAAAATTAAGATGAAGGGAATCTTCAAGTACCTGGATGAAAGTTAAGTGGGAAAAAATTTGACCATAGAATTCACTGTTTTTAGCATAGTCTGACGGATACTAATTTTGTAGAGGCGGGAAAATGCGCATCGAAACTCATTCAATCGGAGGGAAAAAACGTGCCAGTACAACAAAGAAATTTAGCATAGAATCACATGGTTTAAAGCTTAAAAGAAAGCTTCTCCCCTTGAAACTTTCCAAGCTTCTATAAAAACTTCAGCCTTTTGTGCAGTACTTCAAAAGTCTGAAGATTTAATGCCTGGCTAGAGACAACTTTGGCACTTTATCATTGCAGTTTATTATTTTACAGAAGTACTTTTGCGAGAATGAATAAAATACAAATAAATATAAGTACAATATCCTGATAGATTAACAAAAATAAAATAGACAATTCCTCAGAATGGTTCACTAAAAAGGTGAGCTTTAAATTCTCTAAACGAGTTGTCATTTCCGACATTAAAATATGCTTCGAGATTATTTTTGGATAAAATATATATTTGATTAAGGTAAAATCAACCATCTTTATTTCTGATGATAAAATATCGAGAGGTCTCGCAAATTCAGACAGAAAATTATTAATTCGGCCGTGGAATTCACCGGATATACGAACTTGATATCGACGAGGGAATAGAAATAAGCATATTCCATTTGCAGATGCTCTGTTTACTTAAAAAAAGGAAATCGTAAACCATTTACAACTTATTTAAAAGAAAGAAGTACCACAGTCTCGAGTTTTGAAGACGAGAATGTGGCACCCCCTTAAGGAAAGCGGCAGGTGGAACGTGGAAAGAAATACGATACGTCTTAAGAAAAGCCTCCTTCAGGAATAAATTTTCAACCGTCGGGGTATGTTTTAAGACCTTCTTTTGCATTATTAATCCAACGCAGACAAGTTTCGCGCTTTAATTTAATCTACTTCAATATAAAGGCTAACTGCAAGGGATGACTGTAAGGTTGAGCCTTAATAAACAGGTGGCATCTAACTGTCGGAGTTTGAGCCTTGATTTTATATCTGAATGCATAAACCATAGACGAGAGGCATTCCGACAAGCCACATCCTGCATTGCTTCTTTTCTTAAGAAATGCCAAAATGGTTTCGCTCGAGACCCTGTGGATTTTTGTAAGGGGAAACACCAAGTCAAATCACTAAGTCTATGCCAGAAGTTAACGGGGCAAAATACAAATGAATTAGTAAATTCAAAAAAAAGACATGCATGAGACGAATTTTTGGACTAAATACCGTTTTGAAGTATTTAAACTGCCCTTTAAAGCCCTATTCGGAGTCAAAATGAGCTTTTAAGTTCAACCAACTAACGATTTAAAGTGAATTTTAACAGCAAAAAACAAATAATTTCCGGTGTAAGAGATATGTTTTGCTGTCGCTTCCTTACAAGAAAATCAAGATTTTTAGCAATGAATGCAAATAAAATCTACTCAACTTAATGGATGGAAGGAAAAATGCGGTTCCAAAGAACACCTACTTAGTCTCTTCCAGCACCAGATTGTAAGGGGGCACAAAATACTTGACCTTGAAGAAGAGTTTGAACGGAGGACTACCAGGAATTTGCTTAGAAAGTCGATTTCGCATGTTGAGCCAAATTAAATCGCCTTTCGAGAGGGCATATTGCAGACCAAAGTAGTCTGCTTCATCCTGAATCCCCAAGAGCGTGCAGATCTTGAAGTAGACAAAAACCGTCTAGACAGAGGCTTCCATAAGGTTAAACGTGATAGCAAAACTATCAGGCACCTTATTCAAGACTTCCTGACCCTTCGCTTTACCATCCACATCAACGTGGAGGACGACATTGTCCGGCTGGGTGACAAAACAGGTGATCTGCCCACTGGAACTGCTCTGACGATGCGCCTCCAAGTGACCTTTTAATTTGGAACGGTTTAGTGCATCCCCTCGTTGTGCCAGAGCCATATAAATGCAAATTCCATTCAACTCAGCGCTACGCGGAACCGGTAGAAGCAAATGAAACACTAAATACCTCCTTCCAGACAGCACAGTTGCAGACAGCCAATCAGCTAACAAAAAGGGCAGCAGTTGGAGTGCTGATTGGTGCAAATATGATTGGTCTAGTAGATTTCCAACTAATCAAAAGAGAAATAAGTCAGCAGCCTGCTTCTTTGTCCTCAAATGGTTACCGTGGCAATTTATCAAACCACTTTTACTTTCCTGGCGAATGCACCAATTGACGTAGCACATTTTTCCTCTCATTTCTTTATGCCATCTAGCGCTCTAACGTGTAGGAGTTTTGATAAAGAAGAACAGGAATCTAGGGCTATCAATTTTATTCACTCAAGCGTAAGTTTCGTTAAATGTCATTATTAGAAACATGGAATGCTTTTGGATGGTTAATATAACTTGAGGTAATTTGAAACCGAAGTTATCACATTTTTCTGGAATGTTGACGACAGTTAATCGGCGACGATGCTAACTGCGTAATTATCTAGTTGAATATCACTAAAGTTGGATCAAACAGATTTCCATCAGAGGATCTTTACATCTTATTAAGAAGAAGGTTGAGTTTGCCTGCTAAGAATGCAATTTGATCATGCTATTCTGAGTTGGGTGAAATCTAGTCAGGTCTTGTTAATCACGTAAAAATCGGTTGATCAACGACTGGATCGATCAATCGATCGTCCTATCGATCTTTCACCTGCGTATTCATCTTTCCGCCTAGCTGAGTTGGGCTGCAGATCTTGCAAAATGAAGCAGAATCAGGTTGCTATTTTATTTAAAAATTTGCGCCAAAATGACAAAATAACGAAATATTCGCGAAGAATGAGACAACGACGTGTGGTAGTGTGCCTTATCGAGAGAGACGCAAGCCAGGCATGACCAGATTGGATGGGTTGTCAAAATGAACTTTTAAAGCATTAATTTTTAGTAATCCATCTCACTGGACTTAATCACTCGAAATGCCCTTTTATACCCATTCACGAGGAGGGGATTTACATAGTACATACTCGACCAGACAATTTGATGGTTTAGTTAGCTTTTCCTGTCTGCTCTTGTTTGGTCCAAAAAAAAACCAATTAAAATAAGGTGAAATCTTTAAATATTGACAGAGGTTAGCCCATCTTTTTTAGCACATAAACAGATGGATTGTGATTGGGCTAGGAGTACTTCTAATAAAAAAATAAACAACGGACACAAATTGCCATGAAGTTCTTCCTAGCCTTACTTAAAAAGGAATTAGTTCACTTAATTAGGTTTAACAACAGTTATCTCAACTTTTTCGGCTATTTCAACATGAAATCCATCTGACGTTGTATAACTCCAAGATAACTCTTCAAGCCTTCACATTCAGTGATCCATAAGGGGACCTCTCTAACGTCTTCGTATTTAACAAATCAATAACGTCGCTTCATTTCATTGGTCTTCATTGATCAACCTTAAATGCGATTGGTAGTTGGAACCAATCATTTAGAGGCCTCCTTCATTAAAGGCATCGTTGTGACACCTTGTAACCTAGTTTTGAAGGAAGTGATTAGTCGTAAAAAACGAAATAACAGTAACGGGATGAGTTGATGTAAGTTATCGGAATAGAAGGTTAGTTACTGCCGAAAGCTTTCAAAAACTGCTTCCTCAATGAAAGAATCGCTGTCAAAGTGCATCATTCATTCTCAAACAGATACAAGCTTACTCAGATTGCCACTTTTTATGCAGCGTTTTGTCCCAAGGAGCTCCTACCCAGTCCTAATTACATAGGTCTACCTTTTATGCCAGATTTATTACTCTACTGTCTATTCCATATGCACATTTTGCGTGCCCAATGTCAAGAAAGGGTAGTAGCTACGGTGGGAATCTAAGGGATGGCGAGAGACACTACCTCCCACCCATGCTACTCATGAAAAAGTCTTGGGTCACAGCAACTTGCGTCAAGTAGCATCGAGCAGAAAGACCTCAGTTGTAATGAACGACTTTGTCTGTCAACCTACCACACGCAAAGCGAACATGACCCTTTGGGAAGCAATTATTGCGTGTTTTGCGGAGCGGAGTGAGAGAGTGAGGGGAACGTTTGAGGCCAACCGGAGGTATTGTTGTCAGCTTTACGTTGGAATACAAAAGTCATTTCTGACCCCAAGCCTTCCAGTTGGCATGCAATCCAGAACCCTCCATGGGATTTCAGGGTATATGTGAAGCCAGTGGAAAAAAAAGTAGCATTTAAGCTCCATTATCAGTCGTCTGTTGGTAATACATGTAGGTAAAACTCATTTGCTTGGCGTCCACGGCATTTTCAACTGATGTGGGTATAAAAACTTACCCCCCCCCCCCTCCCACATAAATCTCATAGTTGCCTACGGTAATTGCACCACGTGATTTTTCATTTTTAAGCCATGATTTTAAGTTGTTTGACTTCTGGGTGGCAGGTTCTGCGATCGCATTCCGATAGAGCTTCTACTCCGAATGCTATACAACAAAGGTTTTCACACTTTAAAAACCAAAGTAAACAAGTATCATAAACTAGACGAGCTTAAATTATTCAACCGACGTTTTGGGATATAAAGTAAGAGAGAGAGTGGAAAGTAGTAGAGGCCACAAGGTGGGGTGGAAGGACTCATATTTGCTCTCCTAACGGATGTATTCGAAGCATCGACTTTAGTGAATTTCTTTAATATTTAACGAGTTAGTGAAGCGAGTTTTAGCTAAAGCCCCACATCCCCTTTCTGATTATCTGATATTTCACCTTTGAGTTGAAACTGTTTTTCGAGTCTACTTTTTTATCATCGTCCCTGCTTCACGTTACTCATTCATTTGCAGGCCACACTGTTTGTGTCATCTGTGCAAAACTAAATGATCAAAATCTTGTGCAAAATTCGAAGAGCAAATTCCGTTTTAAAGCGAAATCAGTTAAGCTGACCACCTCGAAACCCTAAGGACCTAACGGCGTGGACAGGTGGCAAATGCACAACACACAATACGGTGGACCAATTCCAGGTTACAGTGAGAAGTTCCTAGCTGTGCAACGAACCTGACATGAGATCCAGTCTGAGACAATGGATCTCTGGCGTAGCCGAGATGATGCGAACTAATCTACTTATCTTCAGAGTGCGGGTCACTAGGTGGAAGAACCCTCCCATCACGACTCCATTATAAACAATTTCTAACTTAATGAGACCGTTCAAAAGATTACTCGAGTCTCTACACTAATGGTCACCCGGTAGAATTCATCCGAGATCCTTTGCCCCTTGTGAAGAATGAAGCGACCTTCACCGTACATAGGCGGAGGTGAGAAAATTTGCATACCTTCATCAGGGTTCTTGAAAGTCATCATGTGACACTTTTTTACTTATGTATGCAAAAAAGGTGGCACTCTCTCATTGAGAGCATTTCCCCCTAAATACGTCTTGCAGGGTGTGGGTCCTCATCAAAGAGACGGTGAGATAGTGCAAGACGCCAGGAAAAACGCTTAGCATGGGGAAATTCAGCTTTAAAGCCCCTTTGCCTTTCTATAAAATTTGGTTGGTTTACAGTTGATCCCACTTTATGGCAGGATTTTGTCTCTTCGCGTTCCTTTTCCCAGGCTAGTAGAATTTATCCACCTCGCAATACCGTAAAGCATCCGAAGGATGTTCGAGTAGCAGCCACTTTATCCCCTCACACGAAACAAAGGTGTTGTAGACTAGGTTTCTTTTTCTCCCATCGTACCTACCAACCAGGTTGCCAATGGGCAAACTTTAGGGTAGAGGTCTTCCTTGATAAATGCAGGTGAGTCAACACGGAGATGTGACATGCAAGTACGGGCCTACTTGTGATTGGTGGGGGGTGCAGAGGGCTGAATCATGGACTGTCTGCGGCTGGTCACTCAGTCGGCTCACTCATGCATATTTACAGTAATGGATTGACCCTAGGCTTAGAGTGTAGTGAAGCATGACTGAACGTAATCCCAGAAAATCAGAAGGGAGAGAGTAGGAGTGAGATTTCCAGGATGATCGAGAACTAGCAGCGATTGTAGAAGTTTTAAGATAATCGTCAATGGAGGTTTTTCTGAGGCTGCATGTTGGAAATGCGAGTTACCCGTTCGGTAGGGTGAAGAAAACCAAAAACTCGTGTAACTTCTTCATGCGTTGGCTTCCGCAGCTCGGTGAATTTGAAACAAGGATTATGCGAGGATGGGCAGTGAAGTGAAGCCTTAACCTTTTTAGCGACTCTAAGCCAAAAGTCAGGAAATAAGTAAATGCCTTGAAGCAGATTTCATGTTGGTTATGCAATATTTCCTGTATAACCTTCTAATTATCCAGCGGTTCCGTGCGTTTGAATGAACACGTATTTATCCATGCGTCGGGACCACATGTTAGTACCACCTCTCTGGTGATATTCTAACAAAATAGGGAAAGAGCAAACCTTTCAAGTTGGCTAAGAGGTGCTGTGGAGACCAATGATTGATAAAATTCTTTCAATCTACTGATTGTAAAAATGAGCGCCGACATTCCGTGAGTTGAGACGTTAGCGACACGAAGGTACGGCGGGGCAATGCTCGACTGTTGCGCAGGGCGAGTTTCCCGCCCCACGCTCGAAACTATGGGGAAACACGTAGGCTGCACAATGCGTTTTCTGCTGTTGCTTTATTCCTGCGCAAATTGATACTTTTTTGAGCAGCAAAGGAGTCCACTCACATTTTGTGCCCGATTTTGGCCATTATTTTAAAAGTAACCACTTTACGGTAGGAAACGATGAAAAGTTTACCAGATTTCGTTTAAAGCGGTAGGTGGTTGTGCAGTTTACTTTGCAGCCAATAATTTGACAGGTATGTGTCACAAAGCAGCACTGAAATAACAAATGGCATTGACATTTTGGACGCCAGTTGAGAAGAGGAGCCGTCAAAAGGTGTGAGGAAACACCATGGATGTCAGACCAACGTCCTAAATAGGGTGACAAGATCACCGAGGTGCTGACGTTCATGATGGCTGTCA